TTTTTAGGGAAGGATCTACAGAGTGTTCAGGGTTTCACTACTAGATTGGACGCAGTAATCCACCTGTTTACAGCCTCCCAAGAGCTGGGATTACAGGTATGTGCCACCATGCCCAGTCTGAATTGCCATTTCAGTGTGCCCTGGGGGTGGGGCTGGCACTGCAGGCCTGGGGATCGAAGCCCCGGCCCCAGTGCCTGCTTGCAGGTGCTTTAATCTGCTGAGCTATTTGGCCAGCCCTGAAAAATATTTTATTATTTATTTTTAAGAAACCAGGGATTGAACTCAGGCCCTTGCTCTTGCCAGGCAAGCACTTATTCTACGGAACTATCTCCCTGGCCCCTGAAAAATATTTTAAATATGTTATATTTCAACATATCTGTCCAATATATAATACTATAAATATTTTTCAGTTTAAATTTTTAGAAATACAATGTATAGTTTTGAGCATATGCCAGATTTCCTTGTACTTACTACCTACCTTAAGAAATAGAACGTGAGAGCCTGCCAGATAGATCAGTGGACTAAAGCGCCTGCTTAGGCGGAGTGCAGTTGCTAGGGTTCAATCTGAGGTGAGCTGTGCCGGCCTGCCCCCAGGGTGTGCTGAGAAGAATAGGAGAATCACTCCGAGTCCAATCTAGGTAGTAAGATCCTATAGATCCTGTACTAAATACATGAACAACAACAACAAAAAGAAATAGAACACGATTAGTGCTTTTTAGTTTTTTTTATGTATTTGGTACAGGGTCTCACCATGAAGCTTGGACTCAGTGATCCTTCTGTTTTCAGTCTCCCCAGTGCTGGGATCACAAGCGTGTGCCTCCACTCCCTGTCTCAGTGGCTGGCTCAGTGCACCCAGGGGTGGGGCCAGCGAGGCATATGGTCCCAGGGAATGAACCCCAGTCTGTGTGCTTGCCTAAGCAGATGCTTAGTCTATTGAGCTATCTCGCTGGCCCTATGGCTAATGCTTTTGAAGCCTGCTGCTTTCTTCTTTGCCACTTACGTGCCACTACCCAAATTTATATTTTCTTTGTGATTTTTGCCATACATATAAATATTCCTAAATAATATGTTGTTCAGTGTCTCCACCCCACTTGTATTTCATGGCTGGGGATTAAGCCAGAGCCATATGCCTGCCAGGCAAGTGCTCTGTCACTAAGCTACATTGCCTAGTATTGTCTGTCTATGTTTCTCTCTTGTCTTTTTCAGACAGGGTCTTGCTGTGTAGATTGGGCTGGCCTTGAGCTCACTTTGTAGCCTAGGCTGGTCTCAAACTTGTAATGATCCTCCTGCCTCAGCCTATATGTGTTTTTGACATATATAAGTGGATATGTACTGTTTATAGTAATATATAACTAGGTGGCTTTTTAAATTTTTTTGGCCTCTGCCATCATGTTTTTGAGACTTATCCCTGCTCCTGCAGCGTAGCTATAGATCATTCATTTTTATTATTCTAATATTTCATTGTGTTAAAAGACCTCTGTTTATCCATTCCTCTGTTGAGGGATATTTGTGTTGTTGGTTCTCGCTTCTGTAAACCTCTATTAATTTCACTTGCTGTTTATATGTCAAGTTTCCCCTAGAAGGAATGTCTAGGCCTGCGGAGTGCACATACGCACTTTTATGTATTGCCAACTGATTTCTAAAGTGACTATACTAATGTATGTTCTCTGTCAGATTGGAGAGTTACCTTTAACACACAGGTTTGCGAACACTTTATTTTTTATACTTAAAACTTTTTGTTCACCTGTGTTTATAGTCACAATAGCCAAAAGGGAAGCAACTCAAGTCTCTATCAGTGGGTGAGAAAAATGTGCTTCTTCTGTGTAATGGCATGTTATGGAGCTTTAAAAATGAAGGAAATTCTGATACATGCTGTGACATGGATGAATTTTATAAAGACATGCTGCTGCGTGAAATAAGCCAATTACAAAGGAACAGATAGTGCATGATCCTACTTAGGTGGGGTGCACAGAGGATTCAGAGTCACAGCAATAGGAAGTAGAGTGTGGATGCCAGGAGCTATAATGGTTAAGGCTGGAGAGTTCGTGTTTAGTGGGCACAGAGTTTCCGCATTGCATGATGAGAAGTTCTGGAGATGGACGGTGGTGATGGTTGTACAACAATGTAAATGTACCTCCTATTATAAAACTGAATGCCTGGAAATGGTAATTTAATTTAATTACTTTTTTTTTTTGATACAGGGTCTCACTGTGCAGTTCAGGTGGGCCTTAAGCTCACTTTGTAGCCCAAGCTAGTCTGGAACTTGGAACCATCCTTCTGCCTCAGCCTCGTGAGTGCTGGGATTACAGGTGTGCACCACCACACTCTGCTTGTAAATTTTATACAGATTTTACTATAATAAAAACTTCGTCAAGCTAGTGAGTGTTAAATAGTTTTCTTAGTGGGTTTTAGTTGTCTTTTCCCTGGTTGCCATTGAGGTGAGTATGTTTTGTACCCATATTCCCTATTTTGCTTTTCTCTTCAGAGGTGCCTGTTAGAATATTTTGCCTGTGTTTGGATTGGTGTATTCAACCTCTTTCACTGCTGTTGGTTGAAGGCAGAGCCTCGCACACTTAGATAAACACTTTACCACGTAGGTGCCCTCACCTAATGCCTATCTTTCTTTCTACTCATGGATTGCCCACCATCCTGATGCCATTTATTGGAGAGTATCTTTTTCTACTGTCATATTACAGCAACTCCCTGTATTCCGAATTTCCTTGTATGTGTGACTCTGATTCAGAGTTTGTTTCATTCCTTTGAGGAAGTTATATCTGTGCAAATACTATGCTGATTGTAGCTTTTTATCTAGTCTTTTATTCCTTTTACAGTCTTATTGAGCTGTAACACTTATCATTTGACTCCCTAACATAGATGTGCAAGTCAGTGGTTTTATGTGTATTCACAGAGCAAGCTGCAGAACCATAGCCATAATCAGTTTAGAATCTTCGTTATTCTACAAACGACCCCATTCCCCATTGATACTTCTACTCGGTGGCTGTCTTTTGGGGATAAATAAGCCTTCTTGGTGGGGGAGTCTCAGGCGTTTCTTAGCTACTCTGAACTATAAGTTGGCTTGCTATATTCCATCAGAAATCTGGTAGGAATTCTAATCGATCACATTGAACCAATATATCAAATGGGAACAGTGACCATCTTTATGTTATTAGCTCTGTCCATGACTATATCGGAGACCTTGGCTTTTCACCTTTGCAAAGCCTGGCACACTGGGAAATGTTCACGTGGTGTTAGGTACATGAAAGATGAGATTCTGTACATGGTTAGTTTCAACTGTGGCCTCAGAAGAGAAAAGTAGGTGCCATTGAACTTGCATGAATCGCTGATGGCCATGGAGAGTGGGGGTTGGTGTAGAGCCATGAGCTCTGCTGGTGGGTTAGTGCTGGCGGGGAACCGGAGTTCTCTGTTTACCGCTGCCAGTGGATAGCATTGTAGGTTTTGTACCATGGGATAGGTAAGCCAGGTCATGACTGAGCTTCTCAAAGTACAGCTTTTTCCCTTTGCACAGGGACTTCAGGATGAGTGTTCCCGATTACATGCAGTGTG